AAGTCGCCAGTTCTCATCTTCCAGCTCCCCAGCTACTCCGCGTACTAAAGTTGTACTACAAAGTCGCCAGTTCTCAGTTCTCAGCTTCCAGCTCCACAGATTGCTCCGCGTACTAAAGTTGTACTAGAAACTCACCAGTTCTCAGCTTCCAGCTCCACAGCTACTCCGCGTACTAAAGTTGTACTACAAAGTCGCCAGTTCTCAGCTTCCAGCTCCACAGATTGCTCCGCGTACTAAAGTTGTACTAGAAAGTCGCCAGTTCTCAGCTTCCAGCTCCCCGGCTACTCCGCGTACTAAAGTTGTACTACAAAGTCGCCAGTTCTCAGCTCCCAGCTCCACAGATTTCTCCACGTACTAAAGTTGTACTAGAAAGTCGCCAGTTCTCAGCTTCCAGCTCCCCAGCTACTCCGCGTACTAAAGTTGTACTACAAAGTCGCCAGTGCTCATCTTCCAGCTTTCCAGATACTCTGCGTACTAAAGTTGTACTACAAAGTCGCCAGTTCTCAGCTCCCAGCTCCACAGATTGCTCCGCGTACTAAAGTTGTACTAGAAAGTCGCCAGTTCTCAGCTTCCAGCTCCCCAGCTACTCTGCGTACTAAAGTTGTACCATAAAGTCGCCAGTTCTCAGCTTCCAGCTCCACAGATTGCTTTCGCGCGCTCGACACGCACGATCTCCGCAGAGGGTTGCGCGGGCACCCGCCAAATCGCACTCTCGCCTGCATTTCGCGCACTCGACACGCACGATCTCCGCAGAGGGTTGCGCGGGCACCCGGCAAATCGCACTCTCGCCTGCATTTCGCGCACTCGACACGCACGATCTCCGCAGAGGGTTGCGCGCACACCCGGCAAATCGCACTCTCGCCTGCATTTCGCGCACTCGACACGCGCGATCTCCGCAGAGGGTTGCGCGCACACCCAGCGAATCGCACTCTCGCCTGCATTTCGCGCACTCGACACGCACGATCTCCGCAGAGGGTTGCGCGCGCAGCCGGCGAATCGCACTCTCGCCTGCATTTCGCGCATTCGACACGCCCGATCTCCGCAGAGGGTTGCGCGCGCACCGGACAAATCGCACTCTCGCCTGCATTTTGCGCACTCAACACGCACGATCTCCGCAGAGGGTTGCACTTTCGGTTGACGCTGTTCGTCCCGCACTCCGCCTTTGAGAGAGAATTTATAAAGTGGGGAAATGTTTTTTCATTAGGACATCTCCCGTGCTAGTTTTCCATACTCACACTTGCCTACTCATTGCATGCTTGTATACTCATTGCGTGCTTGCATACTCACCCTTGCATATCATGCTTGCATACTTACACTTGCATACTTTGACACTGGCATACTTCGCACTTGGATGCTTTCGCTCTTCCAGTGTGTGTGTGTAAGTGTAAGTGTCGAAGTGTAAGTGTTCAAAGGATTTTCCGGAAGAACCCTTCGCAATGCTTTCGGGAAAAACAATCTGTACAATCTGTCAGGCAAGGCGCTCCAAAAGCAACATAAGCCGTAAGCCGGCTTCCCACGCACTGACATGGACCTGCAGCCGGCTCCTTCTTCGCTGCTTCCCAGCTCTTCACGCTGAGTCTCCCGACGATGTGCTCACGCACGCCAGCCTCCTCGACTGGATCTGTGCTGGACTGTGGTGCCCAATGCACCTCACCAGCCAATGGGTCGAAAGCATGGCAGACTGGCGCATTCATGAACCAACTTCTCCATTGTCAGAACCAGTAACCAAAAGTCTTTGAGAAATCTCCTCCCCAAACCAATGCAACACAAGTACCAAGTACGTTTCAGTGGCACCCTGACACTGTGCCACGGTCCATGTTCGTCACACCCACCGGTGACTCGTCCAAAAGCACGCTTCGTTCTGAGACCCACGACCTCAGTGTCTTGCCGAGCCATGGAGAAGTTCACCTGGGCGGATGGGATGGCGTCGCGGTTTTAAGAGCGTGGCCGTCTCAGACCGTGCCACGATCGATCTGATTGATTGGTTTCAGTGTTCGGTTTGGACGATTGTCTGATTGTTCCTGGAACATCCGTGCACCTGTTCCACAATGCTCCACAGTCCCCATCTCGTTGGCAGACTCCCCTTTTTCAAGAGCTCATGGCATGGTTAAAAACTGACACGGTGGGACGGAGGTGGGAATAGGTCTCATGCTTGGAAGGGATACGTTCAACCGTCACTCTCTCTTCCTCGCTGGATGCCAGGAGGACCCCTCGATCTTTGGTGGGGCAACCTGCACCTCAAAACGGCTGAAGGTCTCAAGTCTCTACAAAATCAGCATCCAAAAGGCAGCACCACCTCCAAACACAAAACCAGGTTTGACCAACTCATTTAGGCAAAATGCCAGTACAGCACGATCGCTTCTGAGGATCGCACCATGTACGGCATATCATTGAGCCACTTCTTGCTTCCGATTACCAAATCCATATAGATCTAGCCGTCGGGCTCAGGTCGCGAGCCGGCGTGCTACCCGGATCCCACCGGCAGGTGATGGTCATCCCTCAACGATCAAAAGCAAAGGGGAAGTTCCGCTGCAGTTGGTGATTTATATAAGGCATTTTATGTGGGCAATTCTGGAAGTGGTGGGTGTCAGGTGAAGGCATTCCCCTGCTTGATGTCTGATTCCCTGCCTGTTTGTTGATCTACATTGCAAATACTCCTGGCAACAGGAAAACTACTTGAAAATGTGTTGAAATCCATATGGGGGAAGGAATCTCTACTTTGAGGCCCAAGCCTTGGAAAACAGTTCCAAATATCCTTTGAGTTCAGGATCCGTCTCTGTCCTCAAGGGGCCGGAGCGCAGCGGTCCCACGGACGGTGGTCCCCACGTGCCCCACTTGTTGCGAAGCTTTCTTTCCATGCCTTGTTGGCGCTGGTGTACTCCTTCTCGCCGATGCATGTCACCATCTCCTCGACCGTCCACAGAGTGAGTGAGGTAGATGGTCTAAGCCAACATGCTCCATGCAGGTGCGCAGGGTATATAACACAAATATATATATATATATATATGTATGTACAAACACCTAGAGGGTTTCTATACTAGTATCAGCATCTACCTCTAAAGTCACTTCTGTGTGGAAAAAGGGGCAATCCACAAGCACCTTCCTTTACAGCATGGTATCCATATGAGGGAACTCACCGAACTAGATTTAAATCTCTCTGCAAAGGTGACTGCATTTCTACCCCATATGTGGAGGCTCAGTTGAATGGAAGAATGTATTACCCAAATGTGCATCTTCCAAGACACAAGTTTATGGTTGGTAACCAGGGGCAGGAGGAGTTCGGAGGAAACGTGGTCTTCTGTCCTTATGCTATTTTGGCAACCCTCTGTGCGTCCCCTTCAATTTCTTCTGCATCCGCTATGTTTCACCGTGGCATAGCGACAAGACTTTGGCCTTACAAGCTGACACAAAGAAATAAGAACTGCCCCCCCTTCGTCTTGCAAGAATCTACTTTTCCAAGGAGGAATGCTAGGTCAAGGGAATTGATGACAATTGAAGAACATATAAAACAAACAGAAACAACTGCAGAATCAAGGGGTCGGTGCCCCGGATTCTGGTCACTTCAATTGGCAGTTGGAGGGGGTCTCCCAAAAACTATTCGAACCTCTGAAACGTCATGTGTCTTTTTCATTATCATGTCTTATCATAAGCCGAGGTTGACAAAGCAACATTCAATATAGTGTTGCAGGAATTCTGCACCAGTGGTTGGGCAATGCAATCCGTCAAAGGGCTTATAAAAAGTCAATGCACCATGACTCCCAAAACAACTAACTATATCATGTATACATATACATACAACATATATGATTACAAATGCATGCGCACTGCACACCTAAGCTATCTTAAACTATATGCAGGTACATATCACAAAAATCATCCAGCAAACCGTTCCCATGGCAAACTTTGTGGGACAACTGAGCAGCAGGGTGGTCCGCGCAGCCAGGTGCACTCCTCCAGCTTAAGCAGCAAAACCAATGGAAGCTTCTGAGCACCTCAGGTCAACTTGCTTGAGATGTGGACCGTCAGCATGAAAATTGGTCACATCTGGACGCCGTTAAGATTGGATGCCTCTATTTGTTTGAGAGGCGTCGCTGGTGCGGGTCGCTCATCGAAGAAAATCTTGCACTGTGCAGGGTCGGATTGCATGTCCAGCCGCGACTCCTTGCAGGACAGCACCTGGACTCTGGCATCTTGATTTTCTCTGATCTTGGGGGCATGCAGGTATGAAACAAAAAACTGGAATGGAATGGTAACACCCTTTTTCAAGGGGGGGTGGTCCAATTGGAGGAGGTTGACCACAATTCTTCGGTCCTCCCGTGGGAAACTGTGAACAATCTGACGAAAAACCAAGGGCTACTGCCCATGGATGGCTCCTCACTTGCTGGGCTCTATGGCCACTTGTGCTTCAAAACCTATGCTGGAACACTTCTTATCGAGAAGGCTGAGAAAACAGCAGCATTAGTACGCTCAAGCCTTCCTTGATCTAATTGCCAGCCTGCAACCAAACAAGTTCCCTATGTTCATTCACACTCGAATGCTACTTCCCCCAAACTTTTGAATGTATCATGATCAACCCCTTTTGCCATGATCTTGGAGAAGCTTGCCCATGCTGAGCTTGTCGTTGGGGCAACGGCCAAGCTTGTCTGAAAGGTCCCGAATGGCAGTGTCCACCTGATCTGCCGAGAACTCTGTGATCAATCCTGTCTGCACCTTGCAACTAGACTAGACCAGGGGGCCACAGCAGGACTCTGCAGTCACGGCTCATCCAGCACTCTCAGCCCACGTTGAGTGTACACACCTAATAGCGATGGCCTCCAACCTACTGGCTCCTGAAGAAAACATACACATTGCTCCCATTAGCTCACACCGGTCACACCTCTGCCCCCTCAATTGCCTCGTCCATCGCTTTCTGGGACGGCCTCGCATGACTCGGCGTTCCCTCGAACCCTGGCGCCCTTCGTCAAACGCCCAGACCGATCAGGGAAACATTCAGAAGGACCAGGGGCAAACTCGATGAGAAACAGAGTTCCTACCTTGAGAGTCTTTAATGACTTCTTTGTTGTTCATAATTGACTGGGCAGTGGCCCCCAACATGTGTGCTTAGGCTTTCGTTTGGCACAGCGCCTGTGCTGTCGGCCACTGATTGGGACAACATTAAGTTCTCCATCAGACCTGTGGAAAACCTTCCACTCTTCAACAGTGTGCTCATGTCGTTCATCTTAACCACACCAATCAGTGGCTAGGTCTCACGTCTTGGGATATCTGATATCTTTTCACTGGGAGGCCGAACAACTCCGTCACGCCTAGGCCCTAGGCTGCTCGCTTGCCACCTGTCCCTAGCATCATTGTGCATCATTGTGTATCTGTGTATCTAACTTCGCTCATCATCTCCCCACTTTTAAGTGCCCCCCCCTCCCCCCAGTCGTCCCAATCGGCATTGGACGGGAGTCGGACGGGAGCATCCAAGGCCCCGAGCATGCGGTCCCCACGCGGCACGAACTGCGTTGTTCGACACGGAGATACGGCCCCGGTGGGCCGCCCCACCTATGGGTGCTCTTCAAGAGAGGAGAGCAACCGTTTTTTCGCGGGGGTAGTGTGACCCAACAAGAACTGGATTCCACCATCTCGTGGGGCACCCCAACATAAATTGAGCATCATGTCCGCCTCTGGTTGGCATGGGCCACAAAAACTTGGAGCCAACCAACATGCCCTTGCTCAGTCCAGATAGACTGAATGCCGGTCAAGGATAGCCAACCATGTCTGTTCATGTCAATTACCATCAATTCCAAACCTTTGACCGAGCCTCCCAATGTCTGTTCGCCTCCCGAGAGAATCCGAGGAATCCAGATGTACTGGGTTGCAGGAAGCTTTTTGAACGGCCAGATTGCAGAAGCTTCACCCACTGTGGTAATCATGAGCTCCAAAAGAGGCAGGGTATGGCCGGATCCTGTCCTCTCCAGTTAGCTGGTTCAGGTCATCTCCAGGTGTGCCGCCTACACATGATTAAGTAATGTTAGTAATTATATAAGTGCTGTGGCCTTGTTTAGGGGTATGCCCCAGCAATCCAATAAAATATAGTTATATACATGAACAGCATCACAATTGACTTTGAATGTCGGCATAGGTGCTCAAACAGCCTCCTAAAGTCACACCCCAATGAATCTGTATTCTATATATATATAGAGAGAGAGAGAGATTGGGATGATGCGCCCGGCGCCCATCAAATAGGCTCAAAACGAGGCAGCCGGCAAATCTGGCAGTCCAGCCATGGGACTAACTGGTCTACAGTGACTACATTATGTCCTTTCTGGATTCAAGCCGGAATCAGTTTCAACATGTTTCAACCAATGACCTTGCAAAAAACTAACCTGCTGTCTCTGTTGTAACTCACCTGAACCAACGTTGCAATGTTGATTGCAACCGCCTCTTTACCCCAGCTCCGTGTTGTTCCAATTGGCCGATGTCATCCAACCTCCAACCTACGTGCCTCGGGTGATTTGGTGCCAGCGGATCTCCAACCTGGGAATAAAGCCGGTCTGGAGAGACATCTAAAAACTGGACCAATTTCAGGCTGCTCCCCCAAAGCATTGCAAGCACACAGCACAGGGACGTGACCTAGCAGCTAGCAGAATCTCTATGTGGAGTGCATCTACATGTCCAATCTTTAAGAAATGTGCTTGTTCTCGAAACTGATTTGGAGAAAAAAGGATGCAATGGTGCAGAAATGTGTTTATGATCTTGTCTCGTAGCGAATCAAGTCAGTAATTTTACTTGTATCACGCACAAGAAAGCACGCATTCTATTTACAAGTATTTACAAGTGCTTGTTGAATGTTGATGAATGTGGAGGATGTTGAATGAATTCTTTGAAGTGAGAAAAGGCCACAAGCACCAACACTTCCCTAGCATAAGCAAGAGGCTAGGGGACGTCCTTGAAAGGGGAGTCTGCAATACCCCCCACCCCAGCTGTCACTCTGTCACTGGACCCTCCGACACTGAAGGAGGTATTGCAGCGCATGAGCCTCGACAATGTGCTTTCGGGCTGCTGAATCGAAAGGTGCTGGAAAAGAATCATTGTGGCCAACAACTTCAAACAGTTGGACAGTTGAAAGTCTTGACTTTAATCTTGAAGCCAGGATTGATCACCAAAGGCTTCATGAGCTCATGACTGCAATGCAGTCACACTAAGTAATCTTCGCATCTCAATGCAGCATCTGCAAAGAGCTTGCGCCATCTCCAAAAAAGCAAATCAACTTGAGATATTCTAGATCAGGTCAACCACGGATTCAGAAACTAGAACCGCGGATTCGGAAACTAGGGTGGCCACGGATTCGGAAACTAACTAGGCACGGCGCGGATTCGAAAACTAGGATTCGGAAACTAGAACGGCGGATTCGGAAACTAGAACGGGTCTGAATCGGATAGTTTCCGAATCGGGTCTGTGAAATACGAATATGTCCACGCTACATCAACACAAACATTTCATTAGATCCCCACCCCCACACCCCCCAGTTTCTGAATCGGCTAGTTTCTGAACCGGGTGAGTTTCTGAATCGAGACACTCTGTAGTTTCAGAATCGCAAGTTTCTGAATCGTAGTTTCTGAATCGGAGCTAATTTCTGAATCCTCTGTTCTTCTAGATCAAGCAGGAAATTGATTGCCCTCACAGAATTCATCTGCAACCCCCTGTGAGAGGTCTTTCATTTGGCCCCGGTCTTCCAGATGGGGGGGGCTCAGCAAGGATCTCCAAAATCGAACATCAACTAGCGATGTGTTCCGCACTTTGCCGTGCTTCAGTCTCTATTTTGTGAATGGCTTTCACCACACTCCGTCGAGAAGACCCTCCTTCTTTCCCGCTGCCTTTGAGGTGCTGCAGGAGTTCTTCCATAAATGAAGCTGCTCAATGCTGTCAATGCGTTTCAATCCTCAAGCTGGTCCAAAACTGGTGTGAACTGGACCCCGTTCCATTCTCCATGATGGGAGGGAACGCACTAAGGCCTCCAGCCAGGAAACCCACCGATGTCTGGAAAGAGCTCCTGCGAGTCCAAGCTGAAAAATCCCACAAGCCTTTGACTCACCGAGCGTGATATAACAGTCTACAGGTATATATAAGAATGGTATATAGATCATTGAATAATATTACATACACTGACATACACATAAACAACGGAGTAGATGGAGATGGCGCAACGCACTGTGTTCAAAGGTGGCAAGTAAGCGGCGAACCCATCAGTACTTGGGTGAACTGGGAGTAAACCCCTCAGAGCTCCTGACAAACCCGTCCTCAAGTGGCGGTTATATATAGGTCAAAACTGGCCCAGGGCTAAATCGATGTCAATGTAGCACGGTGCTTGGCGCAAAGATCCACAGACTAGCAACATCTAGCAACCGGAATGGTTCTGGCTGGAACATGTAGGCACCATCCCACCAGGTCCCATTTGGACTATCTCGAGGCCTTGCTTGCCAGACCCCGAAATCTCCACGGACTCGGATTCGCCCGGTCCTTGGCATCCAGGACTTCGTCACCTTCCGGCAAAACAGGTCGAAAGAGCAAATCCGAATCCTTAATTGAGCAAAACTGTCCAGTGAAAGAGTGTGTTGATCTGCCGATCGCCGCTGATGTTGTTGTGTGACCTTGTGACCTGACGAGGAATTTGTAAGCTTTGGAGATATGTCTGACGAAGAGGCTCACGCAAGCAAAATGTGCATGCGGCACCTGATGGATCAAGCACTCCTCAAAACTGCCGGACCCCGTGCAGGGTGATGCCTACATGAACGAAACCATGAAGTCCAATGACAGTGTGTCTCGGTGAGCACAAAAATGACAGTTTGTCTTGGTGAGCATAGGGACATAATTAGTATCAGGGTCAAGTGTTACAATTCACCTCTCTCCCACAAAAAGGAATCACCCAAATTTAACGTCAGCCTTATTCAGCCTTTGATCGTAGCTGTAATGTGGCATTCTAGCACATGCGCGTGTGTGGCACGCCATTGCCATGTGGCGTGCATGAAATGACGAAAAGCCTCAAGAATGCAAAGTTGGCGGAATAAAACTTTTGTTAAGCACTGAGGCAGTCGTGCACGACAATAACTATGAAATTGAAGTATTCTCAAACAATCTCCAGTTGGCTTCTTTGCGGTTCCACCAACCACGGTCGTCAAATAAAATCTTACAGCTGATGACCCGCCTTTTCGTTTGGAGCTTGATCTGCTCTCTTGGACTCTGGAAGGGCTGGCCTGCGGCCAAGGACACACAATTCCAGGAGAAGCTACCGGGGAACGACCGACTAGTTGATGGATAAACAACAGAAACGTATGGAAAAGTGAATTCCACCTAACCCGTTGGTTGTTTCAAATCCTAGAGTCCCACAGTTCTTGCTCTGTGGGAATCATGTCTGTTTCGTTTGGGCGAATAGTTTCCGCTGTGACTGCTGTGTTGTGGTACCCTCTGCTTGGGAGTTGGGGAAGTGACAGCCAGAATGCAACTGAATGACGTTTTGAATGTACCTATTCTGTTCCTTTTCGTTTGAGCATTTCGATCTATTATTAATATCATTTAATATCATTCCAGTTCTTTCAGGATATTCTCGACCATTCCCACGTAGTATAAACATCGGTTTGCAAAAAGGAACCGCCTCACCATCCAAACGTTAGAGATCTTTAGAGTGATGCCATCAGATCATCAAATTGGTGGGCTATAGTGGGCAGTATATACAGTATATACGTGTGTGTGTGATTGTGTATATACATATATGTGTTTAAATAAGTGTACAATATTATATATATATATATGGGCATGTATTTTTTAATAGGGGGAACCCCAACCAATGGGTTTTGGTCTATGGTCTCCCTATATATACACACCCAGATGGTCTTTGGGAGCCCACCCATCCATCGAACGCCTCCCCATGTGATCGCACAAATGTATACAAATGTCACATCTCGCCATCGTCCCATCTCGCTCCTCTCAGACTCACAGCATGCTGGAGCATTCTTGTCGGTTGCACGGCAGCAGGCGTAGCCCCAGCCATCTTGCGATGAAAAGAAAGAGCCCCACCTCAGTCCAACAGAGGGCGCAAGGGACAAACCCCGAAAGGACGGATCGGCACGGCCGGGTTGCTGCGGCTTTGGAACCAGGAGTTTAAGATGAATGAGTTTAAGAGATGAAGCCGGAGTAACACGCAGTTGCTCATCATCAATAATAATCGATCGAGCCTCGGATTTAACATGCTGTTTTTAACACATGAATGCAGGCCTCTCAAACCACTTCAGGGGGGGATAGCTGATACTAACATAATTGATTAGTATTGATTAGTAACATCAATCTGCACGCCACGATTCATAAGCATAACATCTTTGCCTGTTGGGATCACTTTTCATCGAGCTCTTTCCGTCCCGGGCGTCCGTGCACAAATCAGCGAATCCAAACCGGACTTGCTGTAATCCTAGTATTTAACAAGGTGCATCGCTACCAGTAGCAAGAAGCTTTACTACGAGTATAGTAGCTATTTGATGCTATTTGAACCAATCCTCATGAGATCTCCCGAGTGCCACGGATGAAACCGTCGGCTCTGTCCCAACTCAGGGCGTGGCACGCTGCTGTGGCCCGGGGGGACCACATCCTGTCAGATCTGTCAGCTCATAAGTGGCATCCGAATCCCACCCGTCGAAGAGTGCAAAAGGTCGCGGTGGTGAATAAAGTTCATGCATCAGATCGATTTTCTGCCTAACACATTAGAAAAATAGGTGGAGAATTGATGCCAAAGGATTGCCGTGAAATGGATAGCCCTGAAGATTCTGCATGGCAACTATTCTGTGCTCACAGCCCATAGGCACGCAGAACGCTCAAGTTCAGGGCTATGCTTTTGTCTTTCAATCTTGTACGTACACCCCGACTAGTCACTAACATGGATGTGGAAAAACAACCTATTTAATCCTGTTTGTAAAGGAACATGGTCTTCCAAGGGTCCGTGTTAGTGAGGCAGAGTGCAGGTTCTTTCAGAAGAGGTACCCTACGAATTCCATCCCCTCTTGCCAAAACAGACCGACGTGCAAGACACGTGGCGCCCCGTGGCGCTGGTGTTGCGTGTGGCCTTGTCTTGTGTGACACGGGGGGGCAATCACCGCACAAGCTCGGTGGAGCACCATGACCACGCACGACCAAACACCGTTTGGTCCCGTTTCAATTGAGCAAACCCCGTGGACGACGGGGTGTCTCCCTAGTTTCATGCACATTCGTGTTTGGTCGCCCATCAGTGCTGGCAAAAAGAAAACAAAACATCAAGCGTCCGGTCTCCCACGCCGACCAAACACCTCTTCATAGCGTGAGGCTGCCAAGGATAGTTGGGCACGGCCTGAGTCCGAGTAGTCAGGTATTGGATGGTACATATATGAGCATTGTGATCAATTGGGCTACGGACAGAGAGCAAAACCTACAGTGGTAAGTAGCAATAGCAAACAGCACTTTATATACTCAAATTATATAGCGGCTTCTGTTTTCAGGGGGGGTCCATGAAATTGCTCCATATTGGAAAGATTTGGAAAGGAACTGGAGCCAAAAGTCTCACTAGGTAGGTTTGTTATGCATGCATATGCATGCATTCGATTATGGAACAGCGTCACCATGCTTTACCACCAAAACATTAATGATTATTTAATGCAGATTAATGCGCAACACATGCGGAACCTGATAGTACTCATGGGATCCAGGTGCTTCAAAACAAGTTGAGTTTGCTGCAGTTTGCAAAGGATATCTGGCAGGGTCATCGAAAGGGTGGAGTTGGATTGCAACAGTCCACGCCGGCTGAAATTGGGTCCCCAGTCAGATGTCCATTCCATCGGTTGCTCGGACAAGTTCACGAGATTTACATGTCGCCCCGTCCGGACCAGAACGAAGCAAAGCCACCAGAACATTTTCTCCAAAACATATAGAATATTGTAGAATACACGGCTGGTCACTGTCACTGGGCTTAGATGAGGCTGCTCCGAACAAACAAAAAAACATATTATGCGGTATATGCGATAATATGTGTAACAATCTGATAAACAAACATGGAATAACATGGAAGGGTACCATGGCTGCATGATATTTGAGTAGGACACCTATCTGAAACATCGACCTGTCGATGCCAACTCATCGTTCCACCAGTGCCTACCTTTGAGACCTGCGTCGCTTGCAAACAGGGAGCAGCTGTAAAGGGTCTTCAGGCAGAAACATGAAGAAACCCCGTAATCCCTGGCCACTATCTATCGTGAATCATGGCCTCGTTCACATCATCCCATGCTACCGTGCTGGAAGCCCTTGCAGCAACATCCCCTCGTTCATGAAGCAATGATTATTCAGCCACTGTGGCGTCTCTCTATCTCTCTCTCTCCACACACTAGGACCCGGACAATTGCGGGCGTCACTCATATCATGTCGTTATTCCATGGCTTTGGTCCTTATCAACTTGGCCTTCGATTTCACACTGGCAGCTGCTGAGACACATGTGCAAGCTGATAAGGTTTCGGCTTGAGAGTCCAATGTCTGCATTGCAGTCAATGACAAAACATAGCTGTCACTGGTATCAGGCACGGCGTGGGAACATGTATTGGCTGAGGGTACGGGTACGCATGTCGAACTGCCACGCCCCTGGCATTGGGAGAAGCTGCGGAGAACCGGAGAAGAAGTCTTGGGATAAATATGTCTCTGGATTGCATGCAAGTTGCCCCGTGGTACCTCAATTGTAGTGAGAACTGCGGAAAAGCCCCAACATAGGCGTCTCTTTGCGTTCCTCTGGCAGCCTCTCGCCCATCTTTTCCGACCTGGTCTGAGTGACCCTCGCCGCGCGTCGCCGTCTCCGATGGCACCGAAACTCTGATGGCACGACCTGGTGGCCCAATCCACGCACTCGACTCAAGAAGCTGCCCTAACATGGGCTGTTACAACATGTGGTGAACCTCCAAGTGAAGCCCCTCACAAATCAACGGGTATGTCTTTGCAGTGCTTGCTCTTGACATATGTTGAACAGCGCGCACGCTTGAAACGACGGTGTAGGCAGCTCTCAGATTGTCACAGCTGCACGTCACCTCCAGCACATGAGGTTCCCCAACCACTTGCAGCGACAAAAGGCAAACCCCTGAGGTGTTCATAAAGGTGAAGCTGCAAGGAGGACTTCCTCCTCTTCTAATGCTCCCATGTCATGCGCATGTTACAACTGACGGCTTCCATATCTCTACCCTAAAGTCACGAATCTAAATAGTATAGATGATTTTAGAGGGTTGCAACAAGCTTCGCAAGGTAATTGCAAGAAGGCTTATACACTTGAGAAGAGGGAGACACCCTTTAGGTAGGAAAGCTGGAAGGTGCACGGGGGGGAACCACAAGGCCCGTACACTTGCATCCCAAAAGAAGTTTGTTGATCCGATGATTTGCATCCACTTCGGGACGACGTGGGGGGGTCTTTATTGAAAAATCAATGCTCAACATTGCTCAACGGGGGGTTACGGTTAGGAATGAAATATCAATTCCAAGCGGTTTGGTCTAAGCGGTGGTTGGCACAAGCCGTGGCTTGGTGTAAACGATGGTTGGTGTAAGCCGTGGCTTCGTGTAAGCAGTGGTGGGTGTAAACCGTGGTGTGGTGTAAACGGTGGTGGGTGTAAACCGTGGTTGGGTGTAAACAATGGCTGGTGTAAAATGTGTTTTGGTCTAAACGGTGGTTTGGTGTAAACGGATGTAAACGGTGAGTGGTTAGTGCAAAACGTGGTGTGGTGCACACGGTGGTTGGTGTAAACCGTGGCTTGGTGTCAATTAAAACGTGGTTTGGCGTCAACGGTGGTTGGTGTAAACCGCGCAGGGGCGTAAACTTTGGTTGGAGTGAACGTGGTGTGGTGTAAACTGGTTGGTGTAAAACGACCGCGCAGGGGCGTAAACGGTGGTTAGTGTGTATAAAACGTGTTTTGGTGTAGACGGTGGTTGGTGTAAAACGTAGCAGTGGATGCGCGGTGCGAATGCAAATCTGAGCCGTTGATCCGAGAATTTGTTGACTAACCAACCACGTTGCCGACTTTCTCGCAGACCAAATGACCCGCTCCAAATAAGATCCACTTCGGGACGAAGGGGTGGGTGGGTGGGGGGGGTCTGTATTGAAAGATCAATTGGAAGGGGGGGTTGGATTGAAGAATCAATTATTCCAAGGGGGAGTTGAATTGAACTATCAATTATTAGATTCGGAGGAGCCCACACTTGCTTCGCAAGACAAACTTAAGGTATCCCACTGAGGGCTACCTTTCGTGTTTAGCCAAGTAAGTGACCCACCCAAGGAATCCAAATGATGTAGTTCATGCAAATGGCTCAATCACCCGATCCAAAGGTGGACTCTCTGTCCCGTTCTTTCAAACAGGGTGTCCTGTATACTGAAGGTCACCAAAGGAATGATCAGATCAGGGCGGCCCTGGCTGCGACACAGTGGTGACGCAAAGACCGTCCGCCGGCCGCCCCTCGCGAAGAGAGCACCTGTCGGGCCTGTCGGGAATCCGAAAGGAAAGAAACGGGCTGAGGCGGCCGAAAGAAAACGTTCGTTTTGGCTTCTCACGTCTCACATTGAATACGGAAAACGAGTGTATAGATGAGTATATAGGTAGATGTACTGAGTTTATTCATGGAGCGTTCATTCATGGAGCGTTCATCGCAAACATTTGTTGCTAATGTGTTTCACTACTCAGAAACTGCTGAAAGCAAACATGCTGGTGAAGTTGCACTGGTCATTACAGTGGTGATTGAAGCTTAGACTCTATGAACATGATCATCTTGTGGGCTTTTCACCCATGCCGCCCGGGGATGTGACCGGCAAAAGAAAGTCGATGTGTCGCTACTCAGGGCTCCCTTTCATAGCAGCTGACTTCTATGTCTACAAGAGGACTTGTTTGAAACACCCTTTCCGTCCTCACCCGAGAATCCAGCCAAAAACATACCAAAAAAAACACCCCAAAGGTGGCTCTGCTTCCACCACTGTCGGATTGCTTCACCTTCTAAGGTCATACCTTGCACTCCCATGCTTGGACCAACTGGGAAACATCCGAGATTTGTGCCTTCGTCTTCCGTCCTGGAAACGTTCGCATCGGCGGATGGAGTCGTTCTAGGACTCAACCGCCGAATCTTCCATGAGCGAGTCAGTCTTTTTGTGGTCTTCCCTGCCAAGCTGCCAAGGAACTATAAGGGAGAAACCAAAGTCGTGGGGACATGTCGTGCTGCCCATTGCACCGGTCATCTCGAGAAAGGACACAATGGACACAACGCCAGAGAACGCAGAATGGACTTAGAACACCCAAACGCAGGAGTCCTGAGCACCTATTAAAAGAACCATCCGACACTGATGCAGTTTGCCGCTTCTTGATTACGCCACATTGCGCCCACTGTTGGATACCAAGAAATAAAGACATGCCGCCAAATTTGGTACCCGCTATAGTCACCAGAGTCACAATTCAATCGTGCCGCTGGTGAGCTGCATGCAGCATTTACACATTCATGTGTCCCGATCCCCGAAGGTATGGAGCCCACACAAACGCACTTTTGAATACTTTTGGTGACTCCTGTTTAGCTTTAGTTGGATTCGATTTATGCCCCTTATTTTGGACAACTTGTTTGCCTGATGGACCTTGATGGAAACCTTACAAGCGAAACATATATATGTATATTATAAGTGAAGAGGCTGAGGAAAACCCTTCGATTTGGAGACATGTTTTTGTTGATACGCCTTTCGAGTTCCACAACAAAAAGGGCTGTATTATAAAAATTGAGGGCTTTTTTTGGTTTGGGGCGGGCAGAAGGGATTGCAGTCTAGCTTCCAATACCATGCCCAAAATCTGGCCTTCTCTGAGATGACCTACTGTCCGGTTGACCTCCCAGTCACTCGAAGGGCAGTTCAGCTACAGAGCTGACTATATCCATTCTTGCAGTGGAGATTGTCGTTTTACGACATCTCAATGGGATGGATCAAGCTGCATACTGTAATACATGTTCAAGGCTTTTGCATCAATTATGATCCCGGAGGATATCTCCGAAACCGCACGCCTTCGGGCATGCGTCTGACGAAGGTCCATCGTACAATCTAAAAATAGGGTCTCAAGCATGATATTCGGAAGTGATGTCACATGCACAACAACATCACTGTAGGTCACACAAATCCACAAAAATCCACAAACTAAGTCCTTCAGGTTGTGGTGTGTGTTTGTTCTTGAAAGAACTCAGGAGAACTTCGCCTCGGGAAAATAAGCTCTGATTCAAGAGCAAGGGGACGGTGGCTGGGAGCCTCTCCCGAACGGACCCCAACCGCATTTCGCTCGCACAAATCCTCGGAAGTCGGCAAGCAAAGAATTCTATACGGAGCTCAGTGTACATTCTTTGGAAGGTCTGCACCTTCCGTCGAATGACAAAGTGCCACAAGGCTCTACAGTTCAAAACTCCGGGATTGAAAAGCTCGTGGAATGATCAAATTGTTGACCTATATCCGCGACGTCTCCATCGTCTTCAGGTCGTCGGCGTCCTCCTCAATCGACTGAAGCTTCTCCACCGGCAGGCCAGCGTCCTAAGAGCTTTTGCAAGCTGACAGGCGCATGAAAAGTTCACAAAATCTATTCCCAATCATCCGCAAACTGTGTTGGACATGCCTTTATCTTTTGTGAAGGTAAGATGTTAACCTTGCTTTTCGCATCGGAGGTTTTGGTCACTGCTGAATGGGAGAGAAAAAAAAAAAGCATACAGAACCCACTCAAAGCTGGGGCTCGCAGCCGCACGGAATAGAATATTAGTGATCAGAACTAAGACTCTAGACTCTTAGACAGTGCCTATATAGACATATGATGAGATATTGAAGCCATGATTGATTCATTTTTTGCCACAAAGTGGGAAGTCCAGAATCCAAACCATACCATGTCCAAAGCACGTCTCCAGTCCGCTGACAGTTCCAACAGTTACCCGCGCAGTTTGCACGAATCCTCTTAGGACTTTCCGAAACCGAAGAGGTGCGTTAGCCGCGCCACAAACCCTGGCTTGAAAACACGCCACCAGCTATATGGTCGACCATGGTGGATGATTCAGCACGGGGGGTCCACTGATTGCGCAACCATGAGGATGTTTCCATGGCTCCCCCATCGTCGGGCCCTTGTCCACGATCGCCGTAAAACTGCTCCAAGTGGCTGACAAGGTCCAAGATGGATCTTGCCTAAGTGCCGAGCCGGAACCCCCACCAGCGCGCCGCACACCCATTGTAGGGGACTGGAAAACATGTCCTATCAAATCTTCAACTCGCGGTTTCTAGATTCGCATCCTGGGAAGCGGTCACCCCAAACATATGGCAAATCCAGGGATTTAAGCATCGGGAAAAGGCGCAAGGGATGGTTGCTGAGTCCTTGATATTTGTATATAATATAATTGGGGTCTATCCCATTGCCAGTAACAGTGGATGATGATGGCTAGTAGAGGCCTTTCTCAAAAATAGTGATCATCTTTTACTGACTGTTACTGGTAATGGGCTACACCCTATATATATAGCTGGACCTGCTCATTGATGGTGAGCGCATTGACCACGTCAGAGTGCATTGGCATTGCTTGAAGAATGCTGTCTCGTGTCGTATTGATTTGCCGGATGGTACCTGCCAAAAACACGCATTGAGGGTTATATGGAGGCAAGCTCTTTTTGAAGGTTGCGAGTGCGCACCCTCAAAAAGTGGACGAACGCATACGAAAACCACTCTATCCTACTCTGCCCCTGTCTGGTATGAGGAAATGCTCCTCCAAAGTGCCATGTGATCCAATTCCATGTTTCTTAGAGCTCAACCTGCCGAGCTGACCCAGCGTTTGAGCAAACAATCAAGGTCAAGTGCATACACACCGCCGACCAACAATGATCGTTCCAGGCGGGTAAAAATGAGCTGCTTGAGTCGCTCGAACGACTAGTTGCTTGAGTAGCCTCCACCTGGAAGAAATACCATCTTCCAAACCCCCTCTTTTGGGTTGGAGTGCTCCGAATCGGGGGGTAACACTAACATACCGAAACAAACTTCTAGTGGGTACAGGACCCACAAGGTAAAATTAATACACTATGTACCATGCCCATGTCCTTCCACACCACAGCATTCACCAAGCGTCTCATTTGTCCGGAACCGCGTCTTTGGCCAGCCAAATCGTGCCGCGAAGCTGGGCCGAGTGGTTGGCGTCAGGGGAGTTGGCAGATCAAAGAGACAATGGGGGGGTTATTTATACCTTATACACAGAACGGGTACATGACATGAGTGATTGATGATTGAGAAAAAACAACTACAATACGCCGCAATTCAGAGTAGGCTCTTGACCAAATCACTTGCGTCTCTTTGCCGCTGACTAAAACAAGGAGAGACAGGGCATCGCACAACTTCTCCATCGACAATATCGTGTTCTACTCCTACTACAACTGCAAAGATGTTTCATGAATTCCCGGCAGTGTCCGACCATTATGCTGATAAGCTGTGTGGGCGGCCCCCTGCACGTGACCAGAAAATGGTCCAAACCCTATGGATCGACCGAATTTCTGAGACTGTGATTTTGGGGACGCAAGCTTGTGTAGGCGCCGGGAGGGTCCAAACACCTGCGCAACGCGTAGGTATGCCAGGGACGTCCCCAGGTATGCCGTCGATTCTTGCCCAGATGCGTGTTGTAGGACTCAGAAGATCCACCTCCGTCTTGGCCAGGCACACGCATACTACGTGACTTCATGTACAAGGACCGGAAGGCCGTCGGGTCCAGCGGTCCTGAGTTTCTGCGGGGAGTTGGATTCCTTCGTTGCGTTCGTCATGGGAGAAGAATGCCATCTCTGTACCTGCACTTGTGGGTAGCATTGGCTCATGATCGTTGGGTGTCGTATGTGGTTGAGAAATGCTTAAAGCATTTTAAGGCCATGAACCACCACCATACCACTAATTATGTAGACTTTACTAAACATCACCAGACCACAACACCTTTAAAACTCAAGTTCTCCGACACCTTTAAGAACTTATCCCCTTCCGACGGCGGGCTCTTTCTCCAGGGCACGTCTGAAGCCATATTTGTCCGTGCTCATAGAAGTCGGACCAGGAGCAAATCGAGATCTCAAGCTTCCTTGGGTAGCGCAGCAGAAGCAGAATGAGCCCCACAGCTAGTGTGTTGGCTGCTTAGGCTTCTTATGGCTTCTTATTCTACCACACACCAGATGTACAACAATACCCATACATTGGGCAAGTGATACATTGGCAAAAAACCGTTCTGATCATCGGCAAACACTTCAACATGGGCCTGCTAGAAAAAGAAGAAACAAGTGACCTGCGCTTAGCACCGCCCGATGTGTTCAGGTCACCACCTGACGAGATCTCCCCGTGGCTGTCGGTGAATTCCACCGATCTCCAAGTCTCGAAGGCTGTCGGACTTGTTCAGTCGAGGCCTGGAACATGCGGAGCACGAGGCCTCGAGTTGAAACATTGGTTCTATATGGTTCTACAAGTCCTGCAATCCACAGGTTGAAGCGATAGATCAAGCAGCCATCGGCTCGTGGTATGATAAAGCTTGAAAAAGCTTGCAAAGGAAAGCGTCTGGAATGTTGTCCCCAGCCCCAGCCCAACCAAGCATGTGGAAGCACCTCTGCAAACTCACCATAGAACCTGACATAAACAAAACCTCGAAGTGTGGAAGCAGTTGGCCCATCATGCGCCGCAACACAGCTGATGAAGCCTTTCGGAACCGACTGCACCACTTCCATCCGCTCTCCCCGATCGGAGCCGTGCGAGCCGAACGACCGGGCGAGACCGGGACGGTGATGGGTGGCGCCAAGGCACTTTCGGCTCTCCTGGAGAAGCATATCTAACCTTAGCCAAGGCCACACTCCGGCGCCATTTGTGGACGCTATACCAAATCGCTGACTGACAGGTGTCCAAGCGCTCAAGCCAGGCATGTTCACAACAAAAGACTAGGCATGTTCACAACAAACCACTGCCCTTCGATGTAAAAGCGCGGTGAAACCACAAGTAAAAAGCATCATTTTCAGTGCCAAAGGGCCGGAGTTTGCAAACATGCCCTATGCACAAGGATTGCAATTCAGCCGAATTGAGTGTATCGACTCATATCTCCATCTGCTTGAGAAACAAGGTATCTCAAAAGGACAAATCTATGTATCAGATTGCATTCATATGCCATATGCTGCATTATGCTGCCATCTATATGCGTACTTCAACCAACTGATTTTGTAAGGACCATGAATTTCTCTACATCCATCTGCGACCTGATTTTTTCATGATTTGTGGCACACATCTTTGGCCAAACCCTTTTTGTCAACCATCCTGCCAGTCTCCAGGCGGGCTCGAGGTCGGGATTTGAAGCCCAGAAAGGCCCGGTCTGCGGCCAAAGTAGCTTGGCTTCAAGGTTTACCATGATAGCCTGCCACGGTCTGCGGGACGAACGACCCAAGCCTACGGTTTGGTCTTGGATGGTCTCGGCAGCGCTTCTTGGGGCTGAGAAGTGGATGATTCTCGACTAAGAGAAGTGAAGCAAATGCGTCTGTTTGTTGTCTACTATATTCTGTCATCATTCTACTACATTCTATGATTCGATGCCAAAGGCATATCATCATACAATAAGCTTTGCATAATTGGGAGAGCTCGCCTCGATCGAAAGCCCCAAAATCTCAGCAGACTGGCCATGCATCTGATTGGCTTCCTGAGCAGCCGGATGCGCTCAGCCCGGCTCTCTGAACCCTCAGAACTCTATCCCACAGACTAGTGCTGCAAAACCCCCAATGTGCAACCACAACTTAGGAAGACAAAGCCAAAAGCCCAGCATAAAGAACATTCACGACCAATTCGGACAATCACAGGTTAGGTGAGCCAAGAATGACACAATTGCACATGGGGACAGGACAGGTGTATTGATTCGGTGCATGATATCATCAACATGTTTCAATACCGAGGACTACAAACACTTTTACAATAGGTGATTGTGAGGGTGAAACTGAACATGGATCAGTTGCCACACAAATATGTAGGAGGCATCTAGCCTCAAGAGTCACAGAGAAAAAAAATCATTTGGCTGACTTGTCTCAAAAAAAAAAAGCGTGCGCAAAGACGTCCCAGAAAATGCATGCCAAAGGAAGTCATACACTCCCGCTTGCATTCTTAAAGCATTGATTAACATGACACTTTATCCTCGCATTTGCTGCTGGCACTTGTTTCACGGAAATGGTATGATAAAGCTATGCTTGCTCAAATCACTTGAGATCCTTGTGCCTGGCTTTCACTACTGTGATTCTCGTCTTTGCATCATGCCCTCCCAAGATGTTATATCCAAAAAGCTATGAAGACTGTAGGAATCTGTAGGAGGAAAACCTCTAGGGATGCCTTGTGAGGACTGGACCAAATCTTGCACAAGCTAATTACTAAATGGCGCAAGTTCATGCAAGTTACCCCTCATGGTTCCCCCAACAAGACAAACTGCGGCAAACTATACTTAGGGTTACAGTAGCCTTAGCACCAAAGCACCTGAACTTGCCAGCATGCCCAGAAACGCGTGTCCACTGCTGATACATTTCGTTACATTCTGGTATACCACATAGATGGGTCAGATATTGGTTTGATCCTTTTGACAACCCACAACCGCTCGGAGGCCGCCTGTTGGACTTCATGCAGCTTCGACCACAAGTGTGGCTCTGTATCTGGGGCGGTGAGCATCGCTTTTTCTGGGTCGGGTGCTGTCGAGGCGTTTGAAAGCTGTGAATCCATGCCAAAAACCAACTCATCGAGGTCCGTGCACATTTCGTGGGTGGGAAAGTCTTAAATAATGCCCTGCCAACTTGACGTCTTGCACAAGAAGACTCTTGACGTCAGCTGAGTCATGAATCCGCGCACGTAAGGCACTAATAAATTGCATCATTCCAAGTCCATGAGCAGCATGTAAATCAACCTTGTGCAACCTCAAAGAGCACTTGACAACAAAAAACAACATGCTTTCAACTGCAACTGTGGCAACATTGTCCCCAAAAAAACGCCTCCAACGACATCCCCGTGGCTGTTCTCCCATGCTGTTTCCCGCGTTTTCGCGCCTAAGGTGGAGTCCGTCTGGCTGGTCTCATGGCCGCTCTCTGGGCCTTTGACCGTCTCGGCGAACGCTGGCGCTGGCACTGGAGGTGCTGGCGTTGGAGGTGCTGGTCTCTGGCGATGCACCTGGAGGGCCACGTCATCGATGCACGCCTCAGAAGCATTCAGAAGCAAGAAAAAGTTTTTGTCGTTCTGGGAGGGGTCAGGAAGGATAGAAAATGGTAGTAGGATTGCTATGTTGGATGGCAACTGCTCCTCCAGGTGATGATTTCGTGGATGGGCTTGTGAGGGAGGTTTTGGGACGTTGTGACTTATGCATTCCATCTTGCCAGTGGGTGATAGAAAAGAATCACATGTCACATATAGAGACACTAAAATAAAGTGATCAACCACTTGAGTGGTTGGGTTGGGTGTTTTCAGTTCCCAGATTGGTGTTTTCCCTTCCCGTGGTGTTTCCTTTTCCCAGATTGTTTTTTTCGGTTCCCGTGGTGTTTCTGGTTCCCAGATCTTGGTGTTTTCAGTTCCTGGATTGGTGTTTTCCTTGCCCAGTGCTCCTGTGTTGGTGTTTTTGGTTCCCAGGTTTGGGTGTTTTCAGTCCTGGACAATGTGTTCCCTGCCCGGCTCCTGTGTTGGTGTGCCCTTTCACGTGTTTGTTTGCCAGCTTTCGTTTGAATTTCTGGCTACCATTGCCCACCGCTGGATTTGAAAGCACGTACTCGTGTCACACAATTAAACAGACAATGAACACCGCAAAGCCGTCAAAGCCATTCGCTGTAAAAACATGTCAGTTTGCGTAAACCCACTGCCGCAAAAACACAAGGTACCCGGTGACACCATCATAACCGCGCACTGTACGAACACATAGACGAAAGCATACAGAGCTTCATTTTTG